CACCGGCCTGGTTGCCCCATGCAGCCTGCTATTCAGTCATTTGGTCGTCCCTTACTAACCCCCCTGCCAGCCTGGTCACCCCACGAAGCCTGCTTGTTCAGTCATTTAGTCGTCCCTCACTTACCCCCCTTCCGGCCTAGTCGTAGGCAGCCATTTTGTAAGGGCATGAGGGTCAATTTGCATATCACCTTTTTATTATATAGAATTGCTAAAACTAGAGGTTGACAATCTTACCTTGGAAAATAATTATATCTATCTACCCTAGTTCTTATAACTTGCTCTTATGTATTTTTAATTTCTAAACTTCTTAGATAAACTTGTAGTATTCAAAAGTGACAATGGATACCCGATACAGGTGAATTTGGCAAAGACTGAGTATATTTAGTTTCTTACTTTTTGACAGCCTATATATTGGCCCTGTTATTTAACAGTGCAAGAAATGATCCAGTAAAGTTAATAATCCATTGGGAAGGCAAAAGTAAACTTATATAATGAAGCATCTGCATATGTAATAAGGTAATGAGTTAAGTGAGTTTAATGTTTAAACTCTGAATAACCCTTACAAATTGTTCTATGAATTTAAAGCAATATTCCACATACAATCCAACATCTTAGAGGCTTATTTTCAATGGCAGCTTCCTGGCTTTAGAATATTAAAAAGAAGTTCTATCTAACCACTTCAAAAGCATACATAAAAGAGCTTTAATGTAGATATCAGAAGAAATATAAAAGAAATATATGGAAGAATGACATTGTGATAATAAGAAATAGTTGGTTGCAAGACTTTTTAAGTAGATTATGCAGAGCTTCTGTTTATATTCCAAAAAATTATCTAGTAAGCAGATTTCTATCTTTATGGTAAGAAAAATTATTAAAAATGAGGTCTGGAGGTCTAAACACAGATAAATTATAGTACGCTTGACATTTTAAAGTGATTTCAGGGACAATATAGTCCTTTATTTACTACGCTAAATTCTGTGAAACTAATCATAAACAAAGAATCATAGAGCCTTTTCAATTGACTGATAAACTTTCAACCAATCAGGAATCTCCCAAAACATCACTGAACTTAGGGTTTCTTAGATTCTGCTATAACCTTTTTCGGGACAATAAATCTGTTCCAACACATTGCACCAAAATTATCCTCTCCTGATTCTCAACCAGCTTTGTAATGAAAAATAAGAATGTACTCTTTGCTACAGAGTATCTCTTTGAATGTGTAAAATAACTAATGTCATCGAGTACCAATCATTCAAGTTTAGACTATTCCTCAGTTTCCTCAATAGGTCCTCAGATAAAAATGGCTCCTCAACCTTTTAACATCTTAAACTGACTCTTAACATCTCTACAAACTTCAGTTAATCAATATTCTTTAGAAGTGGAACTCAGAACTAGACACACGAATTCATGTAGGTTCGGCCCAGTGAAGAAACAGTTAGGAATTAATAAGTTGAGCTGGAATCCTACATGTATAAATTTAGTCCAAGATTGCAATAGTCTTATTTTACTAACTGTGAGATAATAGAAATTCTATGTATTGGTATCTGCTTGGTGCAGAGCTCTGAAATGCTTGTTGTAATTTCCTAAGTGATAAGAGCCTTAGGAGCATCCTTTGTTCTAATGTTTCATCTTTGACCCTGGTTCCTGACACAGGGCTTCTAAATCCATGGGAATTTCTGGGTGATAGGAGGGCCTTTTGTTCTAATGAGGAGGCTTTGGGTGGGGTCCTGGATGGCTCCTGGATGAGAGCTAGTCATCTGAAAGACTAACCCATAATTAGAAGCTTGGAATTTTCCCGCCAACCCCATCCAATTCTCCATAGAGGGAAGAGTGACTAGAAATGGAGTTAATAATTGATTATGTCTATGTGAGGAAGTCTCCACAAAAGTCCCCCAAAATATGGGGTTTGGAGAGCTTCTGGGGTTAAAACATCCACATCCTGGGAAAGTGGTACATCCCAACATGACAGGGAACAGACACCCCTGAGCTCAGAACCCTCCCAGAGCTTGTCTTCTGAATCTCTTCACCTGACTGTTCATCGGTATCCTTTATTATATCCTTTAATAAAATAGTGAATGAAAGCAACTATTTCCCTGAGTTCTGGAGCCACTCTAGCAAATTAATAGGACCCGAGGAGAGGGTCATGGCAGCCTCTGATTTGTAGTCAAGTTGACAGAAGTTGTGTGTAACCCGAGGACTTAATACTTGTGAACAGCATCTGAAGTAGGGCAGGAGCAGCCTTGTGGGACTGAGCCCAAATGAACTGGTGGGACTTGACACTATGTGCTGGTAGATGGTGTCAGAATTGAGTTGTAGGATACCCACCTGGTGTTGCTGAATCGCTTGGTATGGGGAAACCCCACACAGCTCGTGTGAGAAGTGCTGTGAGTGTGGTAGTCATGCAAGAGTAAAGGGGAATCATAGGGGGAAGACTGTAAATTTTTCCAAACAGTAGCCTAGACATAGCACTGCTGTTTTATGAATTCCTCTCTTAATAAAACACATCATTTTCACCTGACATTCTGTCAAAAGGCATTTAAAATTTTTTTAACATTTTTCTATGAATGCCTTCTTAGTACGTTAGGATTTTTTAGTCTTTCCTTTTTATTGTAATAGACATCTATTCTTTGGTATCTCCAGATCTTCATATACATTTCCAGTATTTGTTATTTGAGACAACCAGTCCTCATTCCCTTCCTACCAATCTTGATGGTTTTGGGGACAGCTAATGAGTTGATTGAACCAGGAGATGGACATGTGAAACAAAGTCTTTCTCTTTTTAATTTGGAATCAAACAAAGAGATTATATTCTTCCCTGATTATGAAACTATAAGATGAACTGCCAGCAGTAGTGTGCCTCATATGAATAAAACCAGCCTGTGAAAATAAACCAATTTGTGATGAAAAGTAAGGTCCACTCTGGCTGTGTGCAAATCCTGCTTCCAATTGTCCCTGGAACTTAGCTGTACCCAACTAGTTCTAACAAATATAGATTTTTCCATCTAAAGTTTTTACTTATACCTTCCTCCCAACTTTGTGTCCTATATTAACTTTCTATTGTTGCTATCACATGAACTTGGTGCCTTAAACAATACAACTTTATTATCTTAGAGTTCTGTAAGTCAGAAATCTGACAGGAGTCTCATTGGCTAAAATCAAGGTGTCAGCATAGCTGAATTCTACTCTGGAAGCTCTAGGTATGAGGTCTCTTTGTCTTTTCTAGCTTCTAGACATCATCTACATGCCTTGGCTCAATGCTCCTTCCCTCCATCTTCCAAATCAGCAATGTTGCGTTTCTTTGATGATTCCTCTGTAGTCACATCTCTCTAATCCAGATCTCAACTGGGAAAAGTCCTCTTAAGGACTCACACGGTTAACTTGGACATACCTAGATCATCCAGGATACTCTCCTCATTTTATGGTCCCTAATTTTAAGCACATGCACACAGTCTATTTAGCCATCCAATGTAACACCTTCAAAGGTTCATAGGGTTTAGGGAAGGACACCTTGCAGGTGAGAGGCATTCTTCTGCTCACCACTACAAAACAAACCAGCATTCCATCCCTCACGTCATTCAGTTCAGTAATAAAAACATATTTAACAGGAGAAGCCAGATAGCCTCCACATGAACAGATGCACGTTATTCAACATTATTTGGGAACAGTTGTCTAATTCACAATGACTGCTTCAAAATTGTTTTTCGGGAAAGAAAATTTTGGTTGGCTTTATCTTCTTCGGAAGATGAGTTTGAAGATCCTTACTGAATTTGCCCAGTAGACAATAGGATGCAATCTTTGAAATGCAGAATTAAAAGTAGTTCCGTACCCACATACTTGAAGCCTGAGGCAGCTAGCATTCCTGAGTATAGGGAGTAAACACAGCATCTCTCTTTGTTTTACTAATAGCTTTGTTTCCCCAAGCTGCTAGCACAACATCTGCCAGGCCAGAATGCGCTCCTTCCACACACCATAGAACCACTGCTGGCCAGATAAAGGACCTACGCTTCATGGTGTAAGGGCAAGTGCTTTCCAGGCACTCAGCAGTTTTCAAAAGACAAAAAGTTCCAAGTAGAAATGAAGCTGCAACCCCCCCCTCCCAAAATCTTTAGAGTGGTTATGGAGTTGTTGATTCTGTAATGATCTCATACTGTCTGCAGTTTTATTGATTTTGTTTTTCAACAGAACTGTTAAAGATTACAATTCTCAGATAGGCAGAATGTGGGCAGATGCTCATATGCTCACACATAGTTCTGCCAAGATATTTTTACATCTTTCTGCACTTAAGATAAAATGAAGACATGTGTTATAGATGTATGCTACTGGTAGGCACCCCCCGCCCCCCAAGAAGAGAGTTTTTGTGTGCACTCATTTCCTAGATGAAGTATTAAAAACAACTCTACCTAGAAAAATGAACAACTTTTTCAAACTAAAAGAGATTTGCTTCTGAGGCAATGTATAAAACAATCCTAATTACTAAAACCCATCGAAATGGCAATTTGGGTCAGCATATCCAAATGTCACCCCTGCTCCTTCTAGTTCATTATAAACGTCTTGTCACATTTACTGGTTAAGCATCAAAATACAAAATGCTGCAACAGCTTATGCTCTGTTGATGTTCATTCATCTATTGTGCATCAGAAAGGCTCATTCCAAATATGGCATGAAAGAAAGAAAAGTAAGCAAAAAATAAACTCAGAAAAGACTTGAAATAAATCGCCCCAAGAAAAACATTCCAGAAGAAAAACTGCAGAACCGTAGCCTTACCTTGGGAGACTTGGGCAGACCCACAGTCCTCTCTTCTGCTATGTGTAGCAGAGTTGGCTTTGCTTCTTCCACCGAGGGATGTTTGGGGGGGCGAGGTGGGGGGTGCAAGAAGGAGCTTTCATATCTTCGCATCATGTAATACTGTTCTTCCGTGATCTCTTCGATCAGAGTCCTGACTAGAAATGATCCCGTATCCTGAGACAAATTACTAACTAACTGAACAGTCATATTTAAGCGGCTGACAGGAATTTCCCAACATTCTGCGGGGTTGGCAAAGTCACTTATGAGTAGATAAGAGTCCGTGATAGCTTCCTCCAACCGCAGTCCTGGCGTAGCCGCCAAAATGTCTTCTTCAATGAAAAGATCTCTCACAGATACCTTCACATTGAAGGGCAAGTGGAACTGTGCACAGAGCTCAGCAATCTGGTACTGTTTCTTATCATGAATCACCTCCACAAAACCTCCTTCCATGTATAAAGGGAGCAGTGCTGCCTCATAGGATTTTTTGAGGATTTTTTCACAGGCCAGAACATTCACCACTTTTTTGATGCCCTCAGAGAGGACTTCAGTCGTCTGTGAGTGATGCACTAGAAACTGGTCCCCGACAGCTACAGATGACAGCTCCTCATGCGGGGGATGAAAGGCTTTGGTGGCCACCACGTGGAGAGGTTCCTTTTCACTCTTTGCTATCTCAAGGTCATAAGCTGTTGGGAATTCCCGAGGTCGCCGCTTGAATTTGCCTTTATAGCTCTTAGGGATTAAAAAGTGTCTTTTAGGAAAATGGCTTCTAATTTCTGAAGCTAAGATCCTCGATGCCTGACACTTTTGGTGAATCACAATGGTTTTCCCAGGCTGTAAGATGCTTGCGAGGAGCTGGCTTCCTTGAGGTGCTTCTATGACCTCAGCCACAATGGGGAACTCTTTACTGGTCATTTCAGAAAGATCTTGTGTAGATAACAGCTGAAGAAACCAGTTGGCGTCATAGCTGTCAGTAATGTCTTTGACTTCAACATCTAAACTGGGGAGGATGCGGACTATATCCTTTCGGACTGAAAAAAAAAAGTATGACATTTTGTGCATCAAAATGTTGCTGTGAGGAGGTATTAGGATCTCTCCAGGCGCCATAGATAAATTTAATAAAAAAAACTCAGATGTTCCTGATATAACATTTCTTATATGTGACTTTTCTTTTTTTCAAATTTTAAAATGAAATCAATAATATATAAAACCAACACCCATAAACCTGTTGCTCAGCTTAAAAAAATAGACAACCAGCACCTTGGAGCCCTATGAACCTCACCAAAATCACATCCTCCTTATTGCAGCGTAAGAGTAACAGTTCTCCTGATTCTAGTGTTAATCATTTCCTCATTTTCCTTACACTTTCTCACACATAACATACATGAATATATGTGCATGTGTGATAATGTATATGTGTGTATTTTTTCTCCGAAAGGTTTATCATATTATTTTATCATATTCTTGAAGTCTAGTCAATATATGTAAAATTATCTTAGAAGAAAGTTTGGTACTTCAAATAGGACCCTGCATAAGGCCCAAGACATATTATTTATTTTATTATTTTTTAAATTTTATTTAATGCAGGCGGTTTTTTAAAAAAATATATTTTATTTATTTTTTACAGAGAGGAAGGGAGAGGGATAGAGAGTTAGAAACATCGATGAGAGAGAAACATAGATTAGCTGCCTCCTGCAAACCTCCTAGTGGGGATGTGCCCATAACCAAGGTACATGCCCTCAACCGGAATCAAACCTGGGACCCTTCAGTCCACAGGCCGACGCTCTATCCACTGAGTCAAACCTGTCAGGGCCAAGACATATTATTTAATGTTATCATGTGCAGTACAGCAACACTGCAAAATAAAGGGATATAGGTACTTAAGATTAACATATGGAAATGGATATCATTATGTAATCTTTTTAGTTATTTCTTTTTCTGCTGGTGCTACATTAACACCTGGACAGAAAGGGTGGCACAGGATGGGTCATAATCAGAGGAGCCCCTCAGGAGCCCTTCCTATGCCAGTGGGATGCTTACCAATGTATTATTTTTTTCTTTATTGATTATTGATTAAAGTATTACATGTGTGTCCTTATCCCCTACCAATGTATTCTTTATCTGATGTGTCGTTGGGGACTAATGAATCTCTATGTTTTTTTCAAGAGCCCATAGTCCCAGAACTTTTTATTTGAGATTATGGGAACACTTAAAATACTGTCCTGAAATTATCTGCTCTCCATGTACTACCCCACAGAGTAGCCTTAAAAATGATCTTGCATTGAAAATAAAGTTATACGTTATTACTAGCAGGATTTTATAATGATTTATATATTTTGACAATTTCCTAACACAATGTTTTAGAGTGTTTTCATGATCCACCGTTGCATCCCAATATCTCCACGCACCTTTCTGTCAATATTCTTTCTTCCTTGCATACTTTTGAAAATGAATAATTTGGAAGATTTAGAAAACAGAACTTCCTTTTATAAAATGTTACCTATATTATTATTTTTTAACTATTAACTTTATGTATGCAGTTTCTGAAAACGATATAACTCTATACTTTGTACCATATTACTTGTACATTCTGTGTACAAAGTTACTGAAGACACAGAATGAAAAAGTATTATTTCCTTGAATATAAAAATGAAAAAAAATCAAAGCTTGTATGTAGGCTGAAGGTCAGTAAATATTGTAAAAATTATTCACTGGAGAGAGAGAGAGAGAGAGAGAGAGAGAGAGAGAGAGAGAGAGAAGGGCTAAAAGAACACTCATTACCTTTATCAGTTCATTTTATAAGGTTTAGGATATTCAAACTTTTGAGATTGTTGCAACAGGTTTCCTTGAACCGCTAGGTAATTCTAGATACTCTAAAATCTCAGTTATTTAGATCAAAGTGGGCTAGATTTAATAATTGTAGAGCTAGCGATACACAGGCTCATGCCACTTCTCAGTTGAGGGAACAGCTAAATTGATCCATCACAACATAGGCACCCTAATGAGAGCTCCTCCCAACCTATACCTGGGCACACAGTGGGTACTGAGGCAAGGAGCTGTCTTAATAATTTAAGAGGACTTTATTGCTGCCAGAAAAAGCTTCCAGGCCAGGCTATCTAACCTCTGTTAAATTTTTTGTTTGTTTGTTTGTTTTTGGTGTTTTGAATTCCTAATCTGTCTTCAATACGTTTGTACCAAATCCACTAAAGGTATGCTAGCCTATCTCATCCTTCTTGATATATCAGCAGCACTTCACAGAGTAGATTTGACTTGCTCCTCTTTGCTATGTTTTCTTCACTTATTTCCATATTTTACTTATGATTCTTCTCAATTTCTTTTCTGGTTTCTTCTCTCTTCACACTACCCACTCTTCCCTACCCCCTCACACACCTTTTCATGTGTCTTGGTTCTCTTCCTTTCCCTGTCTACACTCACGCCCACTGTGATCTTGTACTCTCATGTCTTTAAGTGCCATCTGTATGCTGATGACTCTCCAAATTATCTCTAACCAAGTATTTCTCCTGTTCTCCAGATATCTACTTGGGATCTCTACCTGGATATCTAATAGATTTCTCAAAACTAACATGCTCAAACTGAAATTCTGCCCTTCTCAACAAAAAACTAGTCTATTTGTTGCTTTTTCTATCTCAGTTATTGAGGATTCATTCTCCTTATTCATTCCAAAGATCTCAGAAATATACTTAGCTTTTCTCTTTTTCTAACACCTAATAACCATTACATAGAATTGCCCTGATCTAAACTACATTATCTCTTGCCTAGTTTATCGCAATGGCTTCCTACAGTTTTCTTAGAGTCAAATCCTTATGAGCCAGCCAAATATTTTTTTTAATGTTAAATTGATCATATCTCTCTTCTGTTTATAGGCACACAACAGTAGTCCTTTTCATTCAGAATAAGAGTCAATACCCTTTCCAGCTATAGCAGACAGTAATCACAGCGTAACTCTTAGCAGATAAATATAAAACCTCACACCAAAGGTCTATTTACCTCAGTTTCTTTCTTTTTTTAAATATGTTTTTATTGATTTCAGAGAGGAAGAGAGAGGGAGAGAGAGATAGAAACATCAATGATAAGAGAATCATTGATTGGCTGCCTCCTGCAACAACCCCACTGGGGATTAAGCCTGCAACCAGGGCATGTGCCCTTGACCGGAATCAAACCCGAGACCATTCAGTCACCAGGCTGTCACACTATCCACTGAGCCAAACCAGCCAGGGCCCTCAGTTTCTTTTTTTACTTGTTAGATCATGTCTAGCTTTCAACAAGAAGTTACAAGGTATGTTAAAAGGCAAATAGTGTAGTCCAAAGAGACAAAGCAAGCATCAAAACTAGACTCAGATATGGCAGAAATTTGGCAATTATCAGACTGAGAATTTAAAATATGATTAATATCTTAAGGGCACAAAAAGCAAGAAAAGATGAGTAATGTAAGCGGAGAGGTGGAAACTCTTGGGAAAAAGGGAAATGTGGGAAATTAAGAACACTGCAACAGTAATGAAAAATTACTTCAATGGCTTCATCAGTAGACTGGACACAGCAAAGGAAAAAAATCAGTAATCTTGAAGGTATGTCAACAAAAACTTCTCAAACTGAAAAGCAAAATAAAAAAGAGACTGTGGTTAGGAGTCTGTGGTTAGCATGATGACCACTCTGCTGAATGATGAGTGAGAACCAGAGAAAGATGGTAGATATGCTAACTTTAGGGCTGGAGGTTGGAAAAAAGGTTAGCTTTCCTAACCCCCATGATCGCTACCCTGCTTTTCCTCCAGTCCTTTCTTAAGACTAGAAAGTTAGACTGTCTGAAAGAATTGTAGAAAGTATGGTATTGCCCTGGGAATCCTGGGTCAGATTTCCTGTAAGTTGATCATCCAAAGGAAAACTTTGCACAATGAAATATTCTTTTTTCAAAGTACGGTAGGAGGATGTGGAAGCGGAGTGAAGGGGACGGCCTGGGAAAAGCCAGAGATGAGATTGGACAGGTGGAGGTAAGCCCATGAGCATGAGGAATTGGTGAGCATGTGATGTATGGTGTGAAGGATTGAGACCAAAGGAGTGTGTATGGCATATGATGAGTTTGGTAGTTGAGCTCATATTACAGGTATGAACTAGTTTCTACCAGGCTCACATATAAACTGGAAAGAAAATAGCTTTCCATCTACATAGGGAAAGTTTCTCTTCTTAGTTGGACTATGTCATTCTGCTTCATTTATATAAGAAATGGTAATTAAAAGCAGTAGGTTGGTGAAGAGTAGAGAAGAAATTAAGAAATTTATAACTGGTTATAAAAATATTGTAACAGTTTTTCCCAAAAGAGAATGTGCTGTGTGAATAGACACACACCTGCAAGTTGTTAAACTAATATACTCTTGGTCCTTATATTTTGTACTCCAGATGTAGTAGAACAGGAATGGAAATAAAGGGATACAGAACACATTTTTTCCTCCTTATTTGAGTAATAGCAAATATGCCTAGGTTGGAAGCACTCTTAATTTCCTGATACTAAAAGATTTTAAACTCCCTGGAATTGTATATGTCAACTGGGATGTCAAGTGTGACATTTAAAAATGATAATGCTTCAAAGTATAAGTCAATGCTCAAGAATAGTATGTTTGTGAAACCATGCTGATGGAGCAAGAAGCCACTGCTCCTTGGACCTCCTTACTGGCCTATGATTTGTTGCCATCAGTATGATATTGCTGGGCATGCCAGCCTACAGCTTCTTTAATCAGGAGCTTTTCCTAAAGAATCACTCTTGAGAATTCAGGACTCATTAAGGAGAATCTATTCTGTTCCACAGAGTTTTAGAGCATCTTCCCTTGAGTTATACAGAAATCTGTTTTACAACTGTTAGGTTCCTAAAAGTGAGGGCAAGCCTCAGCAATCTAAGGGGCTTGACAATATGACTGAAGTACCTAGAAGTTCCATGAAGTCACTGGAAATTGTTGAACCAATCCATTTTCCTCAGATCAAACTTTCTAAGGTAGCTATTGACCTGACTTTCTTCTTAGCC